TAATTAGGAAACAGAGGGGAGGGAGCCAAGTGGCTTCACCGTGGCAGCGAGTCAGCAGAAAAGCTGTGAATCGCTCACTGCCGCTGTCCTCCTCCTCTGATGACTGCTTTCCCTTCCCCCAAGTATTTGTGTAACTCTGCTGACCACATGCCCAGCTTGAGGAGACCGATGGCCTGCTTGATGGTGTGTAGAAAACCCCTACCATGTATATCAGATTGGAGAGTACCTAGCCACGCTGTAGCCGGCTGTGGTTGTAAGGTGTGTCTGACCTGGCCCCCCAGCCCAGAGGTGGAATCTTTGAGGACCAGAGGCTGCTGCAGGTATCCTGAGGCAATGCGTGTCCCTGCAAATGAGTGGGGAGGAAAGTTTTCCCTGGCCTGGGAATTACTGCAAAGGGACGATGATGCTGGAGGACAGTCTGTGAGGTGAGGTGTCACTTACTAAAGTGTATGGGCTTGCTGCGGACACCTAGCGTCTTTGCCAGCTTCTCCACCTGAAGAATGTACATGTAACCTCCCTGTGTCCTGGCCAAGCTCCAGCCTGGGTCGTCACCCATTGAGCCTCGTGGAGCTCCTCCAGCAGATGCGGCAGGATGCCCTCAGCCATGCGGGAGAGCGCGTCTCCGTGCCACCGGAGAGCTGATGTCTTCCGTCCTGGCCTGCACGCGTTCTTTTCGCAGGTTGCATGGCTTCACAGGGGCTGGGAGACCAGGCTAGCTTAAAAAAAATATGAGGGTTGTAACCATGACTTGTTGCCAGTGTAAATTGAAAGCCTTAATAGCATATGCAGGGCCAATTACAGTACATCAAGGTACGATATCCTCTTTACTGGCACCCCCCAGGGAGCCAGGAGACATCGTGGCAACAGGATTATGGTTTGCAGATAATATGCACGATAACTTCCCCTAGACACATGCACCTGTTTCCCTCTCTAAGCAGATGTTCGGGAGGCTGTTAAGAGAACATCAGCCTCTTGACAGCGCAGCAGAAAATGCCGTGTAACCGTGCCTGTTCACATCGCTGCGCCCGCCGCCTCCGCTGCTTGACAGAGGGCTGGAGCAGCCCTGCCCTGACACACCGAAACCCCAGCCCCCCGGGGCAGACTGGATCATCTCAGCGTTTGAAGGCCGAGCCCTCTCCTGGCTCCCTGCCCAGGCAAATCCCCCAGCCAGGAAAGGGAGTTTCCCCTGTGTCAGAAGGGCGAGGCGAGGCTGGCTCAGTGCCTGGGGTGTCCGTCATCTTGCAATTTTGCTCAGGCACCAGCAGCTACAATCGTTCCTGTGTCATGCAGGCATCTTTAAACATGACCTGGCAAGCTGCACGGGGCATAGCGAGACCCACTTTGCCCTGGAATAGACTTACCACCAGGATGGAAAGAGATTGACTCCCTGGCATTGTATTGTGCCATCGCCATCACCCTGGACCCCTAACTTCAGGATTTTTTTTCTTTTTCTCTCTCCTTTTAAATCATTCTTCCCAAGGGCAAGATGAGCCTTTTGGTTTAGATTGCATATCTGTGAGTGGTGGCTGACGATCCTCCCTCCTCTCCTCCTGGGGGAGAGCAGAAGTGCGAGCAGCCCCACGAAGCTTCCCGTGCCTTGGCCAGACTGCGGGCAGAGGATCTCAGCCCCGCATGAGCAAGCAAACCGGCTTGCAGCCCGAAGGTGAAGCTGCCCCAGGGTAACCTGTGCACCACAGTGTTTCCAACTCAGCGTGCTGTTTTCAGCCTGTGGCCTGTGAAAGCCGTGAGCTATTTCTATAGGATCCGCAAAAGGTAATGAAGAAGAGGTAGGCGTGAGTTTGCTATGCAGGAGCCGGTGCCTGGATGGGGAAGCATTTGGTGTTCGCAGATTGGAAAAGACTGAGAATGTCCTCTCTAATTGTGTGGGAGGGAAACAAAACCTGCACTTGTATCTTCCGTGGTGTGCCTCCGTTAGGAAAATAAGTCACGTTAGCTGAGAAGTGCATTGGCAGGGGTGTCATTATATATCAGCGATACCTCTAATCTAGACGAAATTTTGCGCGTGGTGTTACAAACCTGTGTGAGCCCATGCAGTCTAGCAAAGGGACGACCTGTAATTCCCTGCCAGGGCCTGTTGCTCTCACTGGTAGCAGCAGTAGAAGTGATGACCTCATCAAGATTTGGGGGACTCCATGCATGCGTGGGCAAATGCCTGAACGCTGGCTGCAACGGCTGCCAGGGAGGACTCGGAGGGCTGGGGGGTGTGCGTGGAATTTAAGATCTCATATTTACTGGAGTTAGTAAGATTTCTTCCCCATCACCCTTACCCCCACAAAAGAAGACGTCTTCCCAGGTGTCAAATGGAAGCAGGAAGAGCTGCACGAAGGCCACCCAGGAGCCCTTGGATGACCTCAGGGGTCCGTGTTGTTTGTACACAGTGAGAACTGCCGGGATTATGGTCCGGGAACAAGCCCTCGCTGCCTCAGTGAAATACATCTGTCACGTATGAGGTGCAGGTCGGTTGCCCCAAACACCAGGCTTAAAAATACTCTGGTGCCCATCCTCCTTATTTTCATCTGCTGGAGGTGCTGTGATGTGGGAAGAGCACAGGGAGGGATGCTTGGATCTCAGCAGCCCCGGTCTGGCTCTCTGTGTGTGTGTTGATATTTAGCAACCCCGCCACACGCAGCATGTGTATATACTGCATTTTAATAGATATAGGGCTACTGACTTAACATACACGGTTACTATAGTAACAGAGGTTTCCTTAGTAACGGTTGCAGAAAATAATCTAGTACCAATTAAAATAAACTGTTTGGAAAGGGGGCTGGGGGAGAAAGGAAACTGCTGAGAATCACCTTCCCCTTTATTGGTTCATCTCCCAGGGACTGGGAAGATTGATTAATGCTTGAAATAACCTTTCTTAACCAACTGCCAGCCAAAAAGGTGGGACGAGTGTGGGTGGGGTGGCTAAAGCTGCTGTCCTGAAGTGAAACAAAGGGGAAGGAGCATGTCTGGGGTATGGCAGAAACACAACAGGGTGATGCTAAACCTCTCCATTAGGTTGAAGTCGCCAGGGAGGAAAAACAA